TGAATAGAAAATCATCGTTTCGGAGTCACCTTATTTGTCTCGAATTATTAATACTATATTTGATGGATCAATAAATGAGAAAACGTGAATTTAATTTGCAACGCAAACTCATTATTAATCATCATTATGAAACGACATTAGGTGTTGGTCTCTTATTATTATTAATTATTCTGTGAACATAGTTTTATTATGTATACTATATGTATACTGTATATACTGACTATACTGTGTATACTAACATTTTATCGTTATTTGTTGCTGGAGCAAAAATTATTCACGATCTAACACAATGAATGAACACAAACTGTATTAAAATGCACTGATATTTTCAGCTTTCGTGGTTTAATTTCCTACGTATTATAGATGCATGAAATTCGCAGCGTACTTATAAATGCAGAGTAAGAATACTACAAATAACCACATTTCTGTACGAAATAAATCGATCGGAGCAATGTTAATTTTACTTTTCGTATAAATGAGAATGGCAAACCGTAATTACATTAAAACCTTATGAACAATTATTTTTCTTAAAATTGCTCCGGATTATCTACAATACAAAGCGAATATGTGCTGTTTGAATTTTTAAGGTCAAACTAAGAGCACATTTTTACAACATTTATTTTCAGAATAAACTTAATATAATCTCAGTACATTTATAATAAAGGAATACAATTTTATAATCGTTATCTTACCATTTTTCAGAATTAATTTACACTCTCGGCAATAAATTACGCGAAATAGAAATAGGGTGCATTAATTACAACAAGCAAAGTTTAAACAAAATTGTACTTCTTCTCACAATAATTTTAATAAATCGAAAGTGAAATAATAACACTCATTATTTTCTCCACTGTTTCGTGCATCGTTTATTCATTTTTGCCGTAAATGCATGCAATCAGCAATCTACTCGTTAATAACCCCGAATTAGAATACGAAATTCAGTGTTCACCCACTGAACAAACATATATTTCCACGAAGCGATACACACAGACGTGGGTAATGAAATATTCTTGTTTCTATGAAATAATATTTCAAGATTTATTTGGCATCATCCAAGTTAGTATATGTATTGAAAATATTTATGATGTGGTAAAGACAATTATTAATTGAAATAGTATTTTCTGAAGATGTACTAGAAATAATTATTTGAAATTTCATGTGTCTAAATTTCTATTAATTATTCGAAATAGTATTTCACGTGTCCAAATTTCTATTAATTATACTTATTATTACTATTATTATTATTATTATTATTATATTATTACTATTATACTATCATACTATTATTATTATTATTATTATAATATATGTCTAAATTTCTATTAATTATTCAAAATACTATTTCACGTGTCTAAATAATTATTCATTATTTGAAATTCTGTTTCTTACGATTAATATTTACGAGAGAAGGTAAACCTGTAGAAAATGTACAAAGACATATCGTTTTGAAAAATCAGTTTTTCCTTATATGTATTTCTCTTACTTAATGAATGTAACTGTAACATTTAACATCTGTTTGCTTTTAACAATGCACATATCTCGAACAATACATATCTCAAATGTAAACCCGTATGTCAGAACATGCTTGCAGTTGCTTGGTCGGCAAAGTTTCATGGAAGTAATATTCGAGTTTATCATTTCAACCACAATAAAGAAACTATTTGTTTCAACGTAGAATTTCAGGCTCGTATTGTAAAATATATATTTTAAATACTTATTCTATATTTGTGAACTCAGGTTAAAAATTTCAACCAGCATTTCATTCGATGCACAGAAATAAATTATTATTCATAGAAATAATATACAGAAATATGATTGGAAATATTTGTATTCCTTAATTGAAATATTTTTAGCCAGGTCTGCAGGCGCACTGGTATAATCATCATCGACTAGACAGTTCTGCAAACGCTACCTGTTGGCGGTGTCGTCGTCCAATCGACAATGACAACGCTAAAAATGATGTTTGGGAGGCCAGGCGGCTCGGTGTCGTCGCTTTCCGGTACATATTGATAAATATTCGAAAAGTGGCCGGGGCCCGTCGCCCACGGAAACACGTGTTTCATATCCCACGCAACGACCTGTATCGGTCAAGTATCGGATTACTGTCATGGGATCACCCTTTAGGAACCCTGTCTGTCTATCCGAGGGTAAGTGCATGTCGACGCTGCACAGAAACCCTCCACGAGAATAATCTCTGAAGGTACGAGGGAAAAACCGAATTCTCTGTTAACATCACGCACGAACGAACAGTCCGCGTTACACGACGGACCGATAGAAAACAAATGAGCTGACATTCGTCATCGGCTGCCGAAACGAAGCCGAACCGATCCGAATTTTAACCGTCGAATCTGTCTGCACCGCACGTTTCGGATGTCTAAGCACAAATGCATATCCGATCGGACGGTTCAATGAGTGGCAAAGTTGGTATTATATCTGATCAGATGGTTCGATGAGTGGCAAAGTTGGTATTATATGGTACGGTGCTTCGTGCGAAAAATAGTGACCATTTAGAAATAGTTGTTTCGCATATTAATGCGAATTTATGTGTTCGTCAGGATGATATGGTGACACAGATATGTTTTGAATTCATTCATCTCGATGAGATTTAGTAGATCAGAGATGTGCACAATTTGCAATTGAATTACTCAAGGTTATATAATGACAAAGTGATTCAGTCGCGTTGCAATACGCGTAATTCAAATGTACATTCAATTAAATTACAATGGAATTCGTAATTCTAATTTCAGCAAAATTACAAAATACTAAATAAATGGATTACGTTAAGTAGGAATTACGAATTAAAAACTAATAAATTAATAGGTGATAATACGGAAAAAAGTACGCAAAAGAGA